GAGAGAGAATTTTAATATTTATTTTTTAGTTCTCGGCGGACACAACATCTTTGTTGGTATGTGGTGCTGAGGATCGAACCCGAGCCGCACGCATGCCAGGCGAGCGCGCTACCGCTTGAGCCACATCCCCAGCCCCCTTTTTATCATTTTTTATTTTGAGACAGGGTCTTACCAAGTTTCTCAGGGCCCCATTAAATTGCCGAGGCTGGCTTTGAACCTGTGATTCTCCTGCCTCAGCCTCCTGAGCCACTGGGATTACAGGCATGCATCACCATGCCCAGCAGGATTTGGGCTTTTTAAGTGCAATAAGGAGCCAGTGGATTTTAGCACCATCTAGACTCAGTAACCTTCAGAAAGATTCAACAGGCTGGCTGAATGCAAGAAGGAAAAGTCTTCTCTTTCGGCTCCTCTGAGATTGATAGACACCCCTTTCTGGGTGATTCCTGTGTGCCTCAAGGATGCCACTTCCATGCCTGGGTCCCACCCTAAAAACCAGGCTCTGAAAACTTCCCCTAGACTGTCAAGGCTCTTGTCATTGTGCTGTGAACAGCAGACATTCACTGACCTGCCTATTATATCTTCTGTGCCTCACCTACCTGATCTTACCCCTCCCCACAGTATGAGATTGTTCTCCCCCAGTCACCTGGCAACACTCAAAAAGTTCTGGGGCTCACCATGTGTTTCCAGGAAACCTGAGAACCTCCAGAATCCACCCAGACCTTCTTCCAGTCCATTGGCAGGGTCCCTAGGTCCCTTTCCACAGGGTAAGATGCAGGGGAAGATGGGACCCTAGTTCTAGTAAGGTCCCTTTCCAGGTCCCAGCACTGACTCATGGTAACAGAAGGTGGCATGATGGTGCTCAGGCATCCCTTGTGTTGAGAGAAAGGATTTGGAAACAGGCTGAACCCAAATCATATCTAACAGAAACCCAGAAGGCTAGAGAACCTTGTTGCTGTGAGGATGGAGAGGAATGGACGCATTCAAAGGAAGTTGGTGTTTCCAGGTTCCGCATTTGATATCACCGAGTTTCTGGAATTAATTATGATGGCCACTGCCTCTCCTCTATAGTTCTTCACTATCTAGACCTGTCACCTTGGGATCTTTTCTAGTGCTACAGAACAGAATTAGGAGAAATAACTACACTTAAATGCTTATTATGTGCTGGCACTGTGGTAAAACTCTTGACATTCTCTCATTATCTCTTTTAATGCTCTTTTATTAATCTATGAGGTAGGGATGATTTCTGTTTTATAAACAAGAACATGATACACTGACCAGATACCTCCAAGAAGCCTGATTGTCTGACTGAAGTGTCAGTCTCTGAGCCAAAGGAGTCCCTAAAATGTCCTTGCATTGGACAATAGCTGGGGACCACACAGCCAGCAAGACTTGCTGTTCAGGCTTTGGGGCTGAAGGATCTCGCCACTAGGCTCTCCAGAGCTGTCCCTCCCTTCAGTATCTGCTCATTTGCTCAGGCCCCCAGATTCAGCCTGAGGATTTGTTCTGGCTGAGCTCAGTGAGGCTTAACATGATCTCTGCTGGGTCCTGCAATCAGAGCCCAGGGCCAGAAGCTGCTCTGAGCACCACTGCCTAGAGCAGGGCCAGGAAGGATCCCCAGTAAACACCTGAAGCTCCACCTGCAGGGGAGACTGCAGCCCACCTGAGTGTATGCCGGGAGTGGGGGAGGGTCTGAGCATGTGCTGAGAGCTCCATGGAAAGCAAGGTTCAGCTTCTTCTGAAACCCTGACCCACAGATGTAGACAGAGGCCAGCATTTATTCTCTCATGACACTGGGGGACAGAGTTGCTATCTTGCTTCATAGAGGCTCCTTTCTACTGGTCGTACCTCATCACTTCACTGGAAGGGGCCTTGCTCCCTCTGGAAGAGCTGACCTACTGTCCTGAACCACCTAAATTCCCCTGAAGATGTCAGCACCATTCAAAGGCAGCAGTCTCCTACATGAAAATCTTGTTCTGTCTCTAAGCCCTGTTGACT